GCCGCCCTGCGTGGGCCACTTGGCCTCAGACCGTCTGATAACAGGGAGATAAAACCCAGCAGGGTCTCCGCCTGCAGCTCCTGCTTCTCCAGAATGTTTTGTCTCCCCCATGGCTGGCTGCAGCCGGCCTTTCCTCCATTTCCCACCTCCCTTTTCTGCCCCCCCCCAGATTAGCCAGAGGGACCAGGCCAGGGGGGCAACTGAAAGGGGGCACCCACCAGCCAGGATGCATTCTGCTCCCTTTTGGCTTTCGCCCCTGCCCCACAACCGGCATTGCAGCCTCGCCCAGTTTCACTGGCAGACCGAACCTGGGGGGTTGCCAAGCCCCACCTCGCCAGGCCTGCCTTGGAGCCCCACCCAGAGCTTGCCCGGGTCAGTCTTCTCCAACGTGCCAGCCGGGCACTCAAGAGCTGAAGTCCTTTCCTGGGTGGGTGGCTGCAAGTGGTCTTTGAAGGAGCAGGTAGAGATTCAAAAATAATCTCTCTCTCTCTCTCTCTCTCCCTCTCCCTCTCTCTCTGTCTCTCTTTTCTGTCCTCCAAAACAATAATCGGGGGGTCACAGAGCTGGCAATAGCCTTGAAGGGAAATTGAGAGGCAATTATAAATATTTCTGGTTCTTCGCCTTAATGTCGGTCCTGGCTTTAAAAAGAGAGGAGGAGACCCAAATTTTCTGATTAAAAGCAGCAGAATCTCATCAGATTTTTCTGTATCTTTTCCCAGTTTTGTGACAGCTTGAAGCGCCTGTGAGCACACACACAAACACACATGCGGACACACGCAGACATGGCGTGGGCACCCAGCCACGTTCCCGGCTAGCCAGGCTGAACGCCAGCCAAGATTTTTGCTCTGCCTGGGAAATAAACAGGGAGCTGGGAATGAGTGTCGGTGGCGCTCTTCGGCTGTTCAATCTGTTTTAAAGAATTCCCTCGTTCCTGGGAAAACAGAGGTTGTGGGAAAGGAGGCTTGGTGGGTATCCCTGCCCAGGTGATCATTGCTCTGCCTCCCAGCATCCGGGAGCCTTGAGAAAGTTGACCTCAGCTGCCTTGGGGGGTGGGGTCCTTGTCCTCCATTTTTCCCACCCCTATGCATGGGCAGTGGGGCCCCTAGCAGCACAGGGGTTGCTGTATGCAAGAGGCCTCGGCTTCTGCTGGACGTGGTTAGCTGCCCTTGCCCTTGGCTGCCCACCTCTCCTGGGTCTGACAAGGGGCCGCTTCCTGGCACCAACAGGTGCCCCTGCCATCTGTTCTGGCTGGGGCACCAGAATTCCTTGTCCTGGAGACGGGGGGACACCCACGGCCTGCCTACCTGCCTGCCTCCGCCAGCACATTCCAGAGGTTGGGATGGCATCGGAGCCAGCTTGCAAAGGGTCTCTCGGTGACAGGCTGGGCCTTTTTTCTCCTTGCCAGATGTTTAAGGCAGGATTCCAGTGGCTGGGCCCTCAAATTATCCCGGGACATCCTTCAGCCTCCCCCCTGCTCTTTCTGGAGGCCTCGAGGGGCTTGGCAAGGGTGCCCCTTCCGCTCAGGCTGTGATCCTTCTGCAAGGCGGGGAAATCCGCCTCTGTGCCAAGGAGGGTCTGGGCAGGGACGGAGGGAGCCTCGCCAGAGGCTGCCAAGCACAGTTTATTTATTTATTTATTTATTTATTTATTTATTTATTATTTGAATTTATATCCCGCCCTTCTCCTTGCGGACTCAGGGCGGCTGACAATCAATTAAAAACACCACTAACAATCACAAGTTAAAATTAATTAAAATGAAATATTTAAATTGTCTAGGAAATATTTAAATTGTTAGGCTCTTCTGGGGCCAGAGGCGGGCTGGTCCGGCATACCTGCAGTCCGTAGGGGAGACCCCCTTCCCAGGGGCACCCACAGAGGGGGTGGGCGTCCAGGGGCAGCTTCAGTCTCCAGGAGAGGCAGCGAGGCTTGGATAACGGCCAAGGTTTGGGGGCTTTTTCAAAAGCCAGCGTAGCTCAACTCAGCCAATGGCCTCTGGAAAGCTGCGAGGCAGGAACGCCAGCGATAAATCCCTTTTCAGCTATCATGGCTAATAGCGGATGAGAGGCTGTTTTTTAAAGAAAGCCACCGAAGCCGGGGGCCGTGTGGATTCTGCAGCGACAAGCAGTACCTTTCGTTTCGCAGACAGATCCTTCATGCCCCTGGCTGCGGTGGGAGCAGGCGGGGCGGATCGTCCTCCCCCCCCCAGTCCCATTCAGAAGGCCTGGTCCTCTTTGGGGGTCCTGCCCCTTCCCCACCACTTGTCTTCTGAGCTCAGTTGGAGGTCTCCAACCCCCCACCACCACATCAGCCCCTTCCCTACAACCCCGCCCACTCCGTTGCCCATCATCCATTTCATGGGTGGTTTCTTTCTCCTTTGGCAGTGGGGAGCGTCCCCTTTTTTCCATCCTGTCCCCCCCGCCCCCTTCTCTGCTTTGGATGAGTGAAGTTGGCCCAGGTGTTCATTCTGTGCCACCCGCTTCCTCCCCTTTGCCCACTTTCTACAGGCATCCCTTCCGCCTCCTGCCCAGTTTGAAGCATCCAGCCACCCTGCTTTCTCTCTCACACAGACACACACACACACCCTGCCCGGCTGGGCCTCCAGGCTGCCTTAAGAGCGCATCCTGGACAACTGGGGGGGGGGGGCTGGCTTGCCAGTGTGTGGATGTTGACTTTAACAGCAGATGTCGCTCCTTTCCCCAGCTACAGAGTGGCCAATCAGCGCCAGTGGGCTGCCATTGCCAGCGTCGCTGCCGCCCAGGCAGTGCCGAGAGAGGCGAGAAGGGGGTCACAGGGAGGGGGACAGAGGCCGCTTGAGCTGTGCATTTGGGAAGAAGACGCTGCCCGTCTCCGTGGGGCAGATGTTCGGCCACCGGGCACCCCGAGAGGCCATGCGGTGGAGCTGGAGCGCGACATCCCTCCCGGTGAGGAAAGCGGGGCTGGGGAGAGGAGGGTCTTTGCACTCCGTGTGGGAAAGGAAGCCAGTGGGTGGACCTTCTTGCCTTGCTGGCCACTGTCCCTTCTCCCTCTTGGGCTGCTTCTGTGCCAGCCTGGCCTTTCCTGCTCAGCTACAGGACGGTCCCTGCCCCCTGCCCCCTGGCCGTTGCACAGGGAACCAGAGTGTGTGTTGGGGGGCTGGCCAGCCCCTGCAGCAAGGGAGCCCAGCAGGAAGAAATGGGTTAAAGGAGGGGTGGCTGGAGAATGGCAGGAGCCTTGCTGACTTCACATCCAGGGCTGGGCCCTCCGTTCCTGGAAAGTGGTCGCTGTTCTGCCCTTCTCAGTGCCCGTCGCATCACAGCCACCGCTGGTGGGGTGCAAAAGGCGGCTGTTTGGGATGCCAGCCAGGGAGCCCCTCCATCCTTGACCCTTCCCTCTTCACAACAAATGCTTGATAAATGAATTAGCACATTGCAGTTTGGCACAAATAGCCTTCTCCTCGGTTTTTGTAGCCTCAAGGTTTAAAGGAAGCATCTCCTGGAAGAGGCATTCTGTCCGGTGGGAGGCAGAAGGAAGGATGCGTCTTCGAGATGATGCATGCCAGGCTCTTGTTTTGAAACAAATATTTGCCCTCAATCTACACGCATAGAGATGTGGATAGAAACATCCATACATCTGCATGTGTTTCCTGTCTGCGTATTTGTTAGTCTAGTCCCGCTTGTGACTGTTTCTATCTCGTGTTTGAATCAATTAACGGATATGTATCGATTAAGCAATGTATTAGAATAATTCCTTCACAGGTTTCCCACATCGACCGTTCCCTATCCGCTCTCGGGAGGGGGCTGGGGGGGGAGGAACGCTTGGGGCAAGGCAGTGGTTGGGGGGCTCTTTGAGATCTTCTGATTTGCAATTCGGTCTCCGGCAAGGGAGGATCTGGTCAAGGCTTCTCTCTCGGTGGTTCAGTGGCACCCAAGTCCCCTTCCTTGAACACTCAGGATTGGAACTGGGGGCTGTCCAGGCTTGTAAAGTGTTCAGATGACCTGCCAGCCCCTGGCTGGATGTGTGTGTGTGGGGGGGGGGTTTGATCTGGGTCCTGTGGAGAAAAGCAGCCATGTTCGTCTGGGTAGCCAAAGAATCAGGAGGGCCGGTTGGATAAAAGGGCAGCTGATGCCTTTCATAGCCTGTGTTTGTCACAAAGGGCTCCTCCTGGTTTTTCAACTGGAGGGCTTTCCAATTTGTCCCCCTCCCCCCAAGGTTTCCCCCCTGCCCCCCCCTCCCCCCAGCCCAACAACAACTCTTCTTCCTCCCACAAATGTTTTGCGCACATTGTCCCCCAAAGAGCTCCCTCCCTCTGGGGGCAGAAGGAAAAGGGGGCCCTTCCTGCTTCCCATCCAAAGTCTTCCAAGGAGTCTCCAACCCGTCACCCCAGAGTCTGCTAGGGGGGCTCTAAGTGAGCCCCCACTCACCATCAAGCCCCTATCCCAAGGAAAGTGGGCTGGAAAGAAATCCCCCTCCGCACAGAGGGAGGACTCTGCTTCTCCGGAGGCGCCAGGGCCGGCCCGTGAAGTCGGACTTGTCATATCACGGCTGTTCCCCCTGCAGACCCCCGCTAGCCCAATCCAGCCCCAAAGACTCCTTTTCCTGCCAGCCCAGCTCTCCTTCCTTCCTCCCCCCCCCATCCCTCTGCCTCCCAGGGCCCCACTTCGGTCGGTCGTGGCCACCCTGCTGCTCCGCTGCTTTGCTTCCATTCCTTTGTTCGGACTTTTCCTTCGGTTTCCGCTGCAGGTGGACTCTCTGCCGCCCGAGTGCCGGTGGGCGGGTGGGCGACGCGTGCGGGTGGTTTACCCCTTGATTGAAGGAGGTAAACCCTGGCAGCTGCGGCTGTTCCCACACTGGCCAGGCAGACTGTGCTGCGGTGGGTCGAGGCGGCACCCCCGTGCCCATTTCTGTGGGCGTTTGCGTGGGACCCAAGGGGGGAAGACTTCTTGCAACCCTGGCCTGTGCTGAGGGCCCGCCGGAGATGCTGAGTGCTGGAGGCTCAGTCCCCTTTCTCCCCTCCCCCCCAGATCCCATCTAATGCCGAGGCTGAAGGAGTCGCGTTCCCACGAGTCACTGCTCAGCCCTGGTAGCGCGGCGGAGGCTCTGGACCTCAGCATGGAGGAGGAAGTGGTCATCAAGCCCGTGCACAGCAGCATCCTCGGCCAGGATTTCTGCTTCGAGGTGAGGGCCGGCTGGGGAGGGGGCCGGGAGGGAGGCAGAGTTCCTGGCATGGCCCTGGTGGGTGGAAAGCAGAGGGCTGATTTTATGATGCACTATGAAGATCAAGGAGGAAACCTCCACAGTCAGAGGCAGTCTACATGGGGGCAGAATCAAGAAAGGTGTCTGCTTTTTGACATTTGATCCAATTGGCCCAAGCTTGATGTCCGCGTCCAACTGCGGAGGGCCTGAGATGGTGGCTCTTTCTTTCTTGCCCGGAGACCCCCATGACCACCAGCTCTGCTTTCTCTCTTCTCTGGCAGGTGACAACGTCGTCTGGAAGCAAATGCTTTTCCTGCCGGTCTGCAGCAGAACGGGACAAATGGATGGAGAATCTGCGACGAGCCGTGCATCCGAACAAGGTAGCGTTGGAGAAGGTCTTTGACAAGATGTCCCTCGTTTCTTCTCCCCAGTTTTCCAACTTCCTTTCAAGAAGGGGGCTAGCGAGGATAACAGATCCGGTAGTCTAGTAAAATGTCAGTTCACTGAACCCTTTGGAAAAGGTTCATGTCTGTTAAATCTAAGAGTCCGTTAAATCCAAACATCTGTTAAATACAAATGTACACCATGGGTGTCAGTTCAGCCTGCCCATATATAATTGATGTAAATGACATTATTTGCACAAGTGTCTTGATCCAGATGGGACGTTTCTCTGATGTATCTGAAGTCTGCTCAATAGACGGTTTAATGAATATTACCCAGAAGCTGTTTTGTTAGGGACATGGATAAAGATTCTCAAGAGTGCAGATTGCTGGTCTGACCTGAGAGCCCTTTACGTATCTATGGAAGTATCTAATCCCTGGTTTACTTCTGGTTCTGCATCTCCTTCCCAGGACAACAGTCGGCGAGTGGAGAACATGCTCCAGCTGTGGATTATCGAGGCCAAAGAACTGCCCGCAAAGAAGCGATACCTGTGCGAACTCTGCCTGGACGAGGCACTCTACGCCCGCACCACTTGCAAGCTGAAAACGGACAATGTCTTCTGGGGGGAGCACTTTGAGTTCAACAACCTCCCGCCCCTGCGGAGTATCGCCGTCCACTTGTACAAGGAGACGGACAAGAAGAAGAAGAAAGACAAGACCAACTTCATTGGGCTGGTCAGCATCCCGGCCGGCTCCGTTACGGGGCGCCAGTTCGTGGAGAAGTGGTACCCGGTCGTGACGCCCAACCCCAGCAAGGGCAAGTCCGGGGGGCCCATGATCCGCATCAAGTCGCGCTACCAGAGCATGAGCGTGCTTCCCATGGAAACGTACAAGGAGTTTGCTGAGTACGTCACCAACAACTACATGGTCCTCTGCTCCGTGCTGGAGCCGCTGCTGAGCGTGAAGAACAAGGAGGAGATGGCCTCGGCCTTGGTCCACATCCTGCAGAGCACGGGAAAAGCCAAGGTAAGAGCCTCGGGCAGGGGGGCGGGGGCAGCGGCTCCACCCACGCCCACGTGGAACAAGGCACGCCCGGAAGGGAGACAGACCCTGCTCTGGGCCACCGATGCTCTGCCTCTACGAACCGTCACTTGCCCACCGTGTCACCTGAATTGTTTGGACTTTGCAGGGTTGAATTAAATGGTCATAAAACTGTTGTACCCATAAACAAGTCTGGAGGGTATGAAGGTCTTGGCAGCTTGGCCTGAGCTACTTGTCTCAGGCCCTGTTCCCCACTTCCTTACGGTGATGCTCTCTGGACTGCTGTTCCTGGGACAATCCCCCACCCCGAGGAAGGACAGGCAGCCCATCAGCCCCTGCCAGATGGGCTTCTTGGAGCGAGGGCTCCTTTCGATCTCTTGAGAGCTGCTGGGTTGTCTCTGCTCTCGGCCATCCAGATCCCTGCTGGCGGCTCCTGCCACCTGGCTGGTTCTGCCAGGGAAGAACTGGCGGCACTGGGCCTTTGGGGGAGGGGCAACCTGGAGCACGTGTGCTCTTGGGACCCCTGCCCATGGGTGGATTCTGTAGCCTTGTTTATACCTCGGAGAGCACTGCAGTTTGCTGGCCAGCTGTAAATCCCCCTGGGCCAGCGGCTGCCTTCCGCTCAGCCCCCTCCTCTCAGCGCAGGGAGGGGGATTGGGCAATATTTCTTACAAGAGCTGTTAGTCCAGCTAATTATGGCTTTAATCAATTTTATGAGCGCAGTCAAGGTCCTCCTTTCGGGAGTAATTGTGCTCTTCTGAGAGGCATGAGTGGCGGCCAGGGAATTCGCATGTGTGTCCCCCCCCCTCAATCTGGTCCCCAAGGAAGCCCCTTTGGGGTCCCTGCTGGGGCTACTTCGCCTGGGAGCCCTGAAGCTGCTGCGGCATTTGGGCCCCGGTGAATCCCCCGTCCGATTGTCCCCTTGCCAACTGCATTGTGTTTCCTGCTGTTCTTGGTGAAGATGCTACTCAGATAGACTGCCTTAGCATATGGGGGCTCCAAATGGCCTCAAGGGGAGAGCTTGACTTATTAACATACTGGAGCCAATACATGGACTAGGCAGATGGGCACTGGAGTTCCACACAGTGGCAGGGTTCCTTATCCACCCTACACCCCTCAGGAGGATCCCGGGTGTCGGATCTACCCCACTGAGCCTTGGGGGGGGGAGTCCTGCTACCCCCTGTCCTGGGGGGGCTTGGGCATCTAGGGGAGATGGCTGGCATTTGCTGAAGCAGGGAAACAGACGGCCTGGGGGGGGTGAGGGCAAGGGGGGCGAAGCTGCAGCTGCCGCCAGCCGGCCACGCACTCTGCCTGCCTGCCGCTTCTAGGGCTCATAACCCATCTTGGTCCTAATAGCTCTGCTGCTCATAAAACCTGCCGACTCTGCAAAGCTCAGAGCCCCCAAGGGGGAAAGTGTTGCTGTGAGCCCCCCCCCCCCAGTCCCTGCAGTATTACTTGGGGAGGAGCAGGTGAAGGGGAGGAGAGGCAGAGAAGGAAGGCTCCCCAGGGGGAAACGGGGCTCTTCAAAATAATCTTTCCAAGCGCTTCCAATCCGCCTTCAGCCCCAGAGGAGGGCAGCTTCCCAGCCGGGCCAAAATGGCTCAGCCGAGCTCTGCAGCTGAGACAGAAGCCGGAGGTGGCTGCCTTAAAGGGGCAGGGAGTAGCCGCAGGGCCAAATAAAACAGGAGGAGCCACGTTTGAGAATGGCATTAACACTGAAAAACCTTCTCCGAAGCAAGGCCAGGCCAGGAACGCTCAAGATGGCAGCAGAGGGCGCGAGAGAGGAGCCCAGAAAAAGGGAGGGGGCACCCAGCTTGTGGGACCCAGGTGGCTCCCCCTTGGCCCGTCCTCCTCCTCCCCTCCTGGGGTCTCCATGAGTTTCTTCTCTGCTTTTCCATTCGGGTCTCCCTCTTAGGGTGTTTCCCCTCCAATCTGCACACTGGGGGGCTGCAACAAGAGACTGGTCCTCAGTGAATATTGCTGCCCTGCAAGTCCTCCTTCACACAAGCTTGTGCAGGGACTTTGGGTGGGTGGGGGAGACAGGAAGGAAAAGTGGACCAGATGGCTTCAAAGAGTTTGGGTGTTGCTTCTCCCCCCCCCAAACACATGACAAGCCATGATGCAAAGCTCCATCCCTTCATTTGCCTTGATGCAGGTGGAGGCTGAGTGTGTGTGTGGGGCAGGGGATGGTGGTCCCAGCACATCATTCCAGCAGTGAAGTGATCCTTCTAGACCCCACCCCAGACCCACCAAGGGAGCACAACCAGGATTGTGGGCAAAACGGGCCGGGAAGGGAGAGGAATTCAAGGGCTTCAGGAAAGAAGTTAAACCAACTTGAAGCCCATTTATGTAGAGGCCCTTCAGGTGGGAGGGGGGGAGAGAGAGATGGGGATAGGCAGTGCCCCCTGTGCCAAGCCCTCCCCCTACCCATCGGGCCTGGCACCTCCCCCCCCCCATGGACCCTTTCCTTCCCAGGACTTCCTGACAGACCTCATGATGTCGGAGGTTGACCGCTGCGGGGAGAACGAGCACCTGATCTTCCGAGAAAACACACTGGCCACCAAGGCCATCGAGGAGTACCTGAAGCTGGTGGGCCAGAAGTACCTGCAGGATGCCTTAGGTAAGGCAGGCCCCTCCCCCTCCCCCAGAGGGGCTTCCCCAAGCTTTGAGGCCACAGCTGTGGAACCTGTCGGAAGGCACGAGGCTCTCGGCTGTTTTGCTGCACGGCTTCTGGCTTGTCTTCCTTGTGATCTGCTCAGTCTAGGCTGAGACAGCAAAGCTGATGTCTGGGGGGGGCAAAAGCAGGTGGGGGCAGCAGGTAACCCATGAAATGGAGCCGTGTGGTTTTGGGCTTTTGCATGGGGAACGTGTCACTGGAAGGAGCTCTGCAGCGTCTCTACACCGCTCCCCTATTCTCCTCTCCAGATTGGCAGTCATGAGGACCAGTAACTTGATTTGCCCCAGAGTGGAGGGGAGGAAACCAAGCTGGCTTCCTCCAGAAGCCCCTTAACTTTCTTTCCTTGGGCTCCCCCAGAATCTGGGGCTTCACTGGGTTCCGTTTTTCTCCTCCCCGCGCCCGCAGGCGAGTTCATCAAGGCGCTGTACGAGTCGGACGAAAACTGTGAGGTGGATCCCAGCAAGTGCTCCTCCTCAGATCTTCTGGAGCACCAGAGCAACCTGAAGATGTGCTGCGAACTGGCCTTCTGCAAGATCATCAACTCGTACTGGTGGGTGGGTGGCACTGCCTGAGAGTTTGCAGGGGGAGGGGGTGGGGAGACACAGTCGGGGGTTTGTGCCAAGGAGGCTGGAGGGCAGGCGGAGTCCCAGGGAGGGCTGCTCTGTCCATGCCCAGAGGCTGCGTGCGGCATTTCCTTTCCTGAGAGAAGAGGCATGGCCAGAGAGGGGGAGGAGAGGAAGGCCAAGCAGGCAGGAGGTGGTGAACTGAGCAGGAAGATCAGCCTGGCTGCCCTTAGGCTGTCCATGGCTTCTCCTGTGCCCAGCTACAGAGCAGTGGTGAGACGCAGGAGCGCAGGATCTCGGGAGAGCTGGCAGCCTCTGGGCCAGCCAAACTTGGCCACTTTAAGACTTGTGGACTTCAACTCCCAGAATTCCTCAGCCAGCTATGCTGTGTGGCTTAGCTTTATTTCGGGGGAGATGCCAGTGCTCTCGGTTGTCCTCCAGGTGCCCGGGGCCCTAACGCCCAGAAAGGGAAGGTGGACCCTGCATCCCCTGGGGCAGCCCTTCCTCCCACGAAGCCCCTCTGGAACCGGCCTCCCTCTCTCCGCAGCGTCTTCCCTCGGGAGCTGAAGGAGGTCTTTGCCTCGTGGCGCCAGGAGTGCAGCAGCCGCGGCCGGCCGGACATCAGCGAGCGCCTGATCAGCGCCTCCCTCTTCCTCCGCTTCCTCTGCCCAGCCATCATGTCTCCCTCCCTCTTCAACCTGCTCCAGGAGTACCCAGACGACCGCACTGCCCGGACACTGACCCTCATCGCCAAGGTCACCCAGAACCTGGCCAATTTTGCCAAGTAAGGCTCCTCTGGGTTGACCAGCTGATTTGGGGGGGTCATTGATTCCCAAGCAGCTGCCTTTGATTCTCCCCTCCTCATCATTTCCAATTGAAAGTTTGGTCTAAAAGGGAAGAACCCATCTTCCTCCCCAGCCTTCGGCACACTCACGTCTCTGCCCGTTATGAATTTTTAAAAGCTTCTGAAAGGGAGAGATCAGTTGCAGAGGGGAAAAAAACACAGATCCTAGTTGTGCTGCCAGCTAGAGCTTTACTGGAAAAGAGAAAAAAGATTTCGTGATATCGCTCCACTGGCTTTCCTGGCTAGTTCTGAGCTGCTTATCCTAAAAGAAAAGAAAGAAAAAGAAAGAAAGAGAGAGAGGGAGAGGGAGAGAAAGAGAGAAAAAGAAAGAAAAACTGTAGTGATGCAACCTCCTAAATTCAGGGCAGGGCCCCGTGTGGCACTGCCTGGCGGTGTCCACTCACTTCCTGGCTGGGATCAGCCTTTGGCTTTGACCCCTGGCACTCTTTTGCTCCCTGCCATGAATTTCCAGTCCGAGGGTCCTCTGGATGAAGGAGGAAGATGGTTGTCCCCAACGTCCTGAGTGGGGAGTCTGCAGCTCTCTCTCTCTCTCTCTCTCTCTCTCTCTCTCTCTCTCTCTCTCTCTCTCTCTCTCTCTCTCTCTCTCTCTCTCTCTCTCTCTCTCTCTCTCACACACACACACACACACACACACACACACACACACCACACAAACACCGGCCTGCCTGGCCCAGGTTCCCCTTTGATGGTGCATCTTCCCTGCTCCTTCAAGTGCCCACCTGCCTCTGGCTTGGCCAGCTTGGAGAGGGAAGCTGTCTTGCCAGGCCTGAGCAGTGTTCTGACTCTGCTCTGGGTTCACAGGTTTGGGAGCAAGGAGGAGTACATGTACTTCATGAACCAGTTTCTGGAGCACGAGTGGACCAACATGCAGCGCTTCCTCCTGGAGATCTCCAACCCCGAGACCCTCTCCAACACGGCCGGCTTCGAGGGCTACATCGACCTGGGCCGAGAGCTGGCCACGCTGCACTCCCTGCTCTGGGAGGTGGTGGCCCAGCTGGATCAGGTAATCATCGCCACCACCACCATCATCATCATCATCATAATATCAGTAAGACCGAGTAGTAGAGAAGATAAGCAGGAAAATAGTAATACTACAGCCGTACAACATGGGCAAATAGGCACTGTGAGAATTCGCTGTTCAGCAGAGGGATGGCAGGAGGGAAAAAACTGTCTCTGTGTCTAGTTGTTTTGTCATGCAGTGCCCTGGATAGAATGGAGGGAGGCGGCTTTCCACGTCCGACGTTTCCTAGGTGAAAGTGCCTTAGTAAGAGGAGCACGAGGGTCTCATGGTTTCCTCCCTTGCAGAACACGGCCACCAAACTGGGCCCCTTGTCACGCCTGCTCAGGGACGTCAACGCCGCTCTGAGCAACCCGTCCTGCGTGCAGGTCTCCGTCACGAGCGATCCTGCCACCTCCACCCCAAACGCCGGCAACGGCATCTCTGTCGGGCTGCAGAAGATGGTCATTGAGAGTGACCTGTCTGGGTAAGAGCAAGCCGAGGGGCCGAGAGGAGACAGGGCAGGCTGGTCTGCCTGTGGAAGCCGGGGAGGGTTCACAGGGGAGGCAGTCCTGGCACTGGCGAGACTCCCGTGTGCTCTGGAGACCCTGAAGTGGAAGGGGGGAGGCGGAAGGGGGGGGAGAGAAGGCTGAGTGGCTGTGGGGGGAGGCAAAGTTTGATTGCACAGGCCAAACACACACCCCCGGGACAGGGAGACACTGGCCCCGCATGGCACTTGGTGATGCCCCACTGGTGGTGGCCTCTGCACCCACATGGAGGCTCAGAGGACAGGGAATAATGGCGGGCGGGGGTCCTTGAGGGCGCAGAGCTCTCCGGGGTGGGTTCCCAGCAGCATGTTCTTCACCTGAGCATGGCGGATGTGATGCTTGCTTACCTGCTTGCTGTCCTCTGCGTAGCACGTTTCTCTCTCTGTCTCGCTGCCGTTCCTCCTTTTCTTCTTCTCCGTTGTCGTCGTCTTCTTCTTCTCTTCCTCCTCCTCCTTCCTCTTCTCCTTATGCATTTTTATTTCCCCCACAGTCTGATAGATTTCACACGGTTACCGTCTCCAACCCCTGAAAACAAGGACTTGTTTTTTGTCACAAGGTCTGTGGGGGCTCAGCCGTCGCCCGCCCGGAGCTCCAGCTACTCGGAGGCCAATGAGCCCGACGTCCAGATGGCCAATGGCAGCAAGAGCCTCTCCATGGTGGACTTGCAGGACAATCGCCTTTTGGACGGAGGGGGCGGTGGGCTGGGGGCCGCCGAAGCGCTCCCCGAGAGCCACCCCTCTGCCGGGCAGGCCTGGGGCACGCGGACTCAACAGAGTGGCCTAACGGGCACTGCCACCGTGCGCCGCTCCGCACAGACGCCCACCACCCCCAACGCCGAGAACGCCCCTGGCCGGCCCCAGCTGCTGGCCCCCCTCTCCTTCCAGAACCCCGTCTACCAGATGGCGGCGGGCTTGCCGCTCTCCCCCCGGGGACTGGCCGACTCGGGCTCCGAGGGCCACAGCTCGCTCAGCTCCCACAGCAACAGCGAAGACTTGGCAGCGGCCACCAAGCACGGGTTCAGCAACCCCACTGTCCCGGAGGACTTTGCCCGGCGTGCCGGAGAACTGGCCCGCCGGCAGCTCTCAGTCTCCGAGAAGGGCGGGCAACCCACGATGCCCCGGCAGAACAGCGGTGGCCCCCAGCGGCGGATAGACCAGCCCCCACCCCCACCCCCTCCCCCGCCTATCACTCGGGGCAGGACCCCTCCCTCCTTGCTGAGCACCCTGCAGTACCCCCGGCCGGCCAGTGGGGGCCTGCTTTCCTCCTCACCCGACTGGCCGGGCAGCGGTGCCCGCCTGCGCCAGCAGTCCTCCTCCTCCAAGGGAGACAGCCCTGAAATGAAACAGCGCACCATGCACAAGCAGGTGAGTGGGGCAGGAGGCGAGCCAGGCAATGAGTCCCACACAGCCCCTCTGAGGGGCACTTGCTTCTCCAAGGGGGGTCCCCCGTCTCCTGGGTCTCTGCTGCCCATGTTGACCTCACTGGCCTTCTCGCTCTGCCCGGCGCTCATCCGGCACAGAGGATGCCCATTTGGGAGCTCCATCTGCTGCTTCTGCCCACTCAGGAGGAGCCACATCTGTCACCAGTCTTGAGACCCCAGTGGGGGGACCTGAGCTGCTGCCCTCCCCCAGCACCTCAGTTAATGCCATAAATCTTAGAGCTGCTTGTTCAGCCTCGTCTGTGAAAGTCAATTAAGGGCTGGGCTGCCCCTTGCAAGCAGGGCTCGGCTTTTCTGCCCCATAGTGGCTGCCCTGTGGCCTGGGGGTCTTCTCCAGACCGACGTCCCACTCCCACTTCTACCCCTTGGTGGGAAGGCTTGCAATCTGCATGTCTTATTGGGGCCCTTAGCTTCACCTCCAAGAAAGCCGCCCACCTGTGGCTGATCCCCCCCTCACATATTAAAAAGACTCCCCAACAGAACAACTGGGGGGGGTCTCTGCTGTAGCTAAAGCAAAGCCTTCGGGTGCAGCTGAAGCTCTAGTGAGGTGCCCACCTCCCTAGCCGGAACCCTGGGGACGCTGGGGCCCCTGTCGACCCTCCGTGTCCACTTCAGCTCCGCCTTACTCCCTCCTTTTGCCACGTGGCCCCTCCCTTGCAGGCCCCTTCTCCGGTGAACCCCAATGCGCTGGACCGCACGGCCGCCTGGCTCTTGAACATGAATGTGCAATTTTTGGAAGAGGAGAACGCCGAGCCGGAATGCAAGCTCAGGAGTAAAGATGAGCTCAGCCAGGAGGAAAAGGTAACGGGGGGGGGACTGTTTTTGGCTTTGGAGCTCCTGGCCCCCGGAGGAGGAGGGAGAAGCGCTCGGTCGGAAGGCCCTGAACTTGGGGGGGGGAGAATGCAGCGGTTGGACTTCCTCCACCCCCTCCCACTTCCTTCGCCCCTTCTGCCCTTCCCTCTCGCCCGCCCTGCTCACCCCATTCTCCCAGGAGTGCCACACCCAGCCTGGGCATGGCATTGAAAGTCCAATAAAGGAGAATCTTTGTCGTTCAGGGTTGGAATGAGGGCTCCTTGGTGCTCTGTGAGCTGGGTGGTTTTCTTCCAGACGTTTCTTTACCCAACTAGGTAGCATCATCAGTGCTAGGAGGGAGTGGGGGTGTGTGTCTTGCATTCCCTTCTACCACTGATGGTATGCTAGACCCCTCCCTGCTTTCAGAGAGAGCGTGGGTGGGGGCCACAGAGATGCTGCTGGGCTGGTCCAGCCCCGCCATTCACCCCCTCCCCCTCCGGCCCCCTCCCCAGTATCAGCAAGACGTGGCAGTGCTGCAGGACAAGCTGCGCCAATCTTCCAAGAAGCTGGAGGAGTACGAGGTGCGTTTCCGGTGCCAGGAGGAGGGCACGCAGAAGCTGGCGCTGGAGTACCAAGCCCGGCTGGAGGAGAGCGAGGAACGGCTGCGGAGGCAGCAGGAAGACAAGGAAATACAGATGAAGGGGATCATCAGCAGGTAAGGATGGGGGGGAGGGACATCCTTGCTCTGCCCCCCCCCCCAAGTTAGTCTCCGGGGATTCCTCCAGCGGGCACCATTCCGACTGGCATAGCCCATGCTGGCATTTAGACATGGGTGCGCAGACAGAGTTCCTTTACCGAAGGGAGGCTGTCCAAAAATGGAGGGCCGGAGGGGGGGGAAGGGGAGAAAGGCTGCACCGTTGAGAGGAGACCCCCTTTCCCACCCCCAGGCTGATGTCGGTGGAGGAGGAGCTGAAGAAGGACCACTCGGAAATGCAGGCGGCTGTGGATTCGAAGCAGAAGATCATCGACGCCCAGGTGGGACCCCTCCCTCTCCTGAGCTGCATTTGGGGGAGGGACAGGGGGGGTAGAATGGGGTAGGTGTTAGGTGCATGGAACCAAGAAAGCACAAGGAGTAGTTTATTGCTGATAGACAAGAATCTTGCCATAGTAAAGCACAAATCTGCATTACTATTAAATGAGAACGATTAGGGAGGGGAGGGGCCGCCCGCCCTGGCTCTCTTCCTGCCCACCAAGGATTCCAGGCTGAGCTGCCTCTTGGCACCTTGGGAAAGGCACACACACACACAGACACACACACACAACTCTCTGCCACCTTCCAGCACAGGGGTCCCTCTCCCCCACCAGGAAGAAGGCCCCACTAAGAAGCCGCCTGGCGTCTTATTTCACCCCGTCAGGTGGAGCCTTGCCAGCCCAGCCCCCCCCCCTGGCACCCAGGCAGAGTGAGGCTGCTGGGAGGGGTGGGTTACCTGAGCAGCTCCAGGGATTTGCCCAGCTCCTCGCATCTCGGAGGCGGCCCTTCTCCGCAGACCCCCAGCCCCATTAGAGGCAATCAGAGACGCTGCTGGCCTCAGCAAGAGCCCCCCCCCCCCCGGCTCATCCGCTCATTAGTCCACCGGCTCCATCGATTCAGGGCCGGGAAGCAGAGACAGCCAGGAGATCCTCATCAGCCGCCCGAGGCGAGGCTGGAGGACAAGCACCTTCCTGGGGGAGCCCCCCTCTCAGAATAATGTCATGCAGGGGGGGGGAGGCGGAAAGAAGAAGCTGCTTTACTGCAGATCAATAACCCAGGCGCCTTCATGGAAGACAAAAATGTCTGGGGCTGAAAAGCCTGGACAAGAGCAAGAAAATTGCCCCAAATTCAAACTCTCCTCCTAGCCTTTCTCTGCCTTGGAGACTTTGAGCCATGGGGACTCCCGCTATTCCACAGCCAGCATGGCTGGACTTCAACTCCCAGAACTCCCTAGCTGGCATGCTGGAATTCTGGGAGTTGAAGCCCACCCTTCGTGCAGCCCCCAAGGATGGGAGAAGCTGGGAGGTTGCTTCAGCTGGGAAAATCTGGCCGAAGGAGGAACGGGGCAGGCAGGGCGGGGCTCCCTTCGCACTGACCGTCCGTGTCCCCTTTGGCCACCCAGGAGAAACGCATCGCCTCCTTGGACGCGGCCAACGCCCGGCTCATGAGCGCCCTCACGCAGCTGAAAGAGAGGTACAGCACGCAAACCCGCAACGGGATTTCCCCCACCAACCCGACTAAATTGCAGATCACCGAGAGCGGTGAATTCCGGAACAGCAGCAGCTGTTGACCCCGGGACCGGCTGCTGCGGGTGTGCGAGCGAGCGAGAGGAGAGCCCGGCCAAGCCCAGCAGCCAGGGAGGGTGAGCTACCTGGCACGGGCCGGGCCCTCCCCCGGCCCACCTCCTCCAGCGGGCAAAGCCGAGTGGACCCCAAGCCCTCCTCGCCAGCGGCCCCCGGCCAGGGACGGAGCTGAGAGCGCAGACGCCTCTGACTGAGCAGGAGCTGAGCAGATGTCCAAAGAAGAAGCTTCAGCAGCCGAGCCGGGTCACTTCCAGGGATGCTGAGAGACTTCTGACCACCCGGCACCCACGTTCTCCCACAGCTGTCGTACCTCCTGGCACTGCCAGCACCCTGGAATTTGCTAGGTGCCACCTCCCACTGAGTGCCCGCTCGGTGCCTGGGGCCTCCTCCTCCTCCTCCTCCTCCTCCTCCTCCTCCTCCTCCTTCGTGGCACCTCCTGCCAGCCCCAGCAGACCTCGTCAGGGCACGGAATTGGGGCAGCTCAGGGGCTCCATCATTGGCCAAGGGAGTCTCTGCAGAGGTGTTAGATGCATCTCTGTGTGAGTCCCTGAAGAATGGGCGCTAGTCAGAAAACCTCAACCCCAGGCGGGAAGTTCAAACTCAGTTTAAAGATGTTCCTCCCTCAGTGAAGTTTGCAGAGTTAATTTGGGGGTCAACCCTTATCAGCACGGATCCCCTCTTCCGGCGCTTAGGCCCCCGACCATTTCCGCCCCCTCCCCCCAGGGCTGGAGAAAAGGCCAAAAATGAAGGGGGGAGGGCAGAAGGTGGCATCGGTCTGGTGCATCCGGCTGCGAGGCCAATGATCTCCTTCCCTCTAGGGACGGGTTTTGCATGCCGTATTCTGCAAGCCCAGCCCAGGAGTTCAGCGGCAGAAGCCCCGTTTTGGCAGCTGGTCCTCTTTAGGAAGGGCAGACCCAAAACGTGTGAAAAGGAGGTGAAAGCTGCAGAAGCCCCCCCCCTTGCCCAGCCCTTTCCCAAACAGCAAAAGTGAGAACCCACCTGGGGCAGCTTCGGAGTCCTGACGTCCCAGGGGAGAAGGGCCGAAAGGCTGTTTTGTTGTGCCAAACAGTAATAATGAAAAAAGAAGTTTCCTGCTACTAAATCAAACTCTTCAGCCCAAGAAACAAACCCTCACCAGGGCACAGTGCAATAATGTGTTGGGGATGCCAAGGCAGCCACATCTCTGCCCGTCTCTCAAAAGGAGGACAACAACCTCTTTGCCAGCCTTTTCCAACCTGGCCCTTTGGGGGGGGCAGTGTTAGGGAATGGCTCCCCCCTCGATCTGCTAGGACCAAGGGAGCTGTCATCCCACAGATAGGGAGGAAACCCCCCCCCCCACTTTACAGAAAGCTGCTCGCAAGTGGGATTTCTGCTTGGCGGGGCCTCTCGCGTCCCAAGTGGGATCCAACTGGCCGGGGAGGGGCATTACGGACGCCCAGCGGCCGGCCAGCCTGCTTAGCAGCCCCGTTTCTCCAGCAACGTGCATGGCAGGTCCCTGCATGATGGCTGCCAGAGAAGCACCAGAGGAGGAAAAATGTCAGCCTCCCTCGCGTACGAAGAGCGGTAACTCCCTTTCTTTTTTCTTCCACAGTCTGCGTTAGGAATAAAACAGCCCAAAGCCCAAAGCAGACCTTTCTGGAGTCTCTCCTCTTTTCAGGGGGTGTGGGTGCTGCGTGGGAAGCTTGCCACCTCGAAGAGGCCGCACAAAAGAGAGTAACCGAGCGAGGACGCAGCCTCTGAAAAGTGCCGCCCCCTCCCCTAATCTGAACCGCTGGGCAGCCCTAGCCGGGCCGGTGGGTCCGTGGCGTGTCTTGGCAGTGCGGTGCGTTGTGAGACGGGGGGCGCGCGAGGTGTGTAGGAGGCAGCAGCCACGGAGGAAGGCGAAAGAAGCCGGACGTTGAACCCCTCTTGCTCCAAGCGCTTCTCCGCCACCATCCGGCTTGGCTGCGTGCAAACTCTGGCCCTGGGTCCTTTCCCAGAAGACCCCGAGTTTAATACTGACAACACCCCCACCTTGTGATCCCACCTGGGCTCGAACATTCGCAGACAATCATGCTGCTTTTCTGCACCCCACTTTCTCTCTCTGTGTGTCTCTGGGGCGAAGGAAGATCCGTGGCACCATCGGAGGCCTCCCAGTAGTTGTTCCTTGCCCCCCAGTGCCACAGGGGGCCATCTGTGGGGTGGGTGCCCATCACCAAGGAGGGTGCATGCAAAATGGAGCGCAGATTTCCTCAGCCATGGTGCTCAGGAGGGTCTTAGACAGCCTGGGCAAAGCAGCAGGGGACCAACCGCTTTTCCTTGCCAACCACTCCCTGGGGTCTTGGGGGGCAGCCCCCTTGCCACCCCAGAGCCACAGCTGTTGGGTCAGCCAATCCTCCCTTTGAGAGGGGCATTAACCAGAAGCCCTTCCCAGCCAGCCCTACCTTAAGTAAGTGGCTAACTGTGCTGTCCTTGGTCCTGCTGGGAACATTTGCCAAATGCCATGTCACACATGCTGGAAGCTGCCGTCCAGTGAGCCCTCTCGCCTCGCCCACCAGAGGCCTAAGATGCCAGGAGGGTCCCCTGTGCCGTCCGGGGTTCAGTCCAGCCTCTTGGGGCTCAGCCAGATGGCCTCAACCCTTTTTTCTGGTCCCTCATTTCGTCACCCCTGAAGCCTGCATGGCTGGGAGGGCACCCCAGCTCCGTTCTCCAAATGGCTTGCACTGGAAAGGGGGGGGGGCTCTGCTGCCGTTTTGTTCTCGGGGGGTGCGAACCCCGTTTTCTCTGTTCTTGAACTTTCTGCCATATGAACTTGTTACGATCTGTAAGATTTTCATTTTTACAACTAATCCTTATAATACACTGATCTTTAGAAGTTGTACAGGTTCTCTTTGTAAAATGGAGAAAGATGTTTTCAAGTATCGAATATGATGTGCCATTTTTTTATTTTTGCCTGACAATATCAGAGCGGCTGCTTTGAGGAGCTCAGCATCGTGTTGCAGCCACGCAGGGAGAAGCCTTGGAAACCCCAGATATGGATGGTTCCACTTCGTCTGGGGGTCCAGTTCCTGTTGCTTGTTTTTGAAGTGAGCTTTGTGGTCCTGCTAAATTCTGGAGGGAAAAAAGTTGATACCAAAAAAGGCAAAGGTATTTTTTTTCCAATGCGGGATCCTTTCCGAATTTGACACTCGGGCCAGGCCTGCTCGGTGGAACAGCACCAAGTTCCCAGTGGCTGAGCTGAAGGCCCTTTGGGGGAGCCAACCCCCCCCCCACAATGGTAACCCACAATGCAAAGGAACCAGAGGCCCAGGGTTCGCCCCAAATGCACGTCTGGCTTTCTGGGTGAGACCCAGTGGGTAAAAATCCGCTGAATTGCTCTTGGGAAGATGTGCACACGCTCCTTGGGTGGCCGTGGTTTAGTTGAACCCTCAACCTGGACCTGATCTAACCGAGGGGTTCAGCCTCTTTCGCTTTCAAGCTGTTTGGGCAGGGAGAGGGTTTTGCCCAGCATCCCCCTCCATCAGAGCCCTCATCGGGGTTGGAGGGCAAGCCACAGGCCCCCACCCAGCTCCCTGGCGGTGATCTCTGTCCAGCACGATAGGCTGGAGGGATCTGGCTTGACCGCAGAGCAAAGCAGCCCACCTCTCCCCCTGGCAGGCAAGGCCACCCAGCTGGGCATCGGGGTGCAGAAGGTGGGCAAAGGAAAAGCAGCTGCTGGTGTGTTTGCCCATCCGGCCCTCCTCCTCCACCACTTGCCAGACCATGCCACGAGGGTCTGCGTGGCCCCAGGGAAGGGGCCCCTACCCAGGAGATGGGAGATGAAAGTCTTCACCAAAACCCTGAGGTGGGTGGGTGGGTGATCTATTGGGGAAGGACGGTGATCTTTCAACCCAAGGGGACTCCCTGAAGTTGCTCTGTGGTTTGGCATCCGCCATGTGAAAAAAAAAATATCTCCATGTGGTCTCCTTTCCCTTTTTCCTCTTGGACAGCAGCACTGTGTCTTCATATATACCTCTCTGGCGCCCACAAGCACCCTGGGTCCCTCTTGCTCCCTGTTCAAACCCGTCTCCGTGTTTTATAGCCTCTTCTAAAAGAAACCAAGCAAAAAAAATGACAATAATAATAAAATAATTTTTGTAAGTATGTTTAATAAATTAATAATGAATAATAATGAATAATAATGAATAATAATAATAATATGAAGCCGAGCGGCAGGACTTGCCGAGTCGTTTCCTTCAGTTTTGCTGTCGAACGATGTACAGAGAACGTAGTTCGTGTCCGGAGCAAAGAACCATGATGTGTGTGTGCCATTTATGTACATTTGCAATTAGAAAAATATTAAAAGATTTATTTAGCTATTTTATTCAAGCTTTTTTCCCGTGTAGGATACCTGTTTGCCTGAGAAGTCGACTGTCTTTGTGGGGTGCAGGTGGGCTGGGGGGCCAGTGCTGAAGCTTGCCTTGGGCCAACTGCACCCCCAAATTCTGCAGCAGGAGGACTCCGTCACCCATCCCTCCACCTGCCCACCTATCATGCCAAGGAATTGGAGGGATGGGGAGAGGGAGAGAGAGAGGAGGTGTGAGGTAAGAACACTGGGGGTTTTGGGGCCACCCTCTTCGTGCTGTCTGCTTCTTCCAAACCCCCTTCATTTCTTCTGTTCCACGCAAGACCATTGCCTCACCTGTGAGCGATCTGGGAGTCTCCCTTCAGCCAGGACTTTCTTATCTTCCTCTTCAATGCAGCTAGTCCTCAAGGTACACCCGTTCATTTAGCGAGCAAAATCATCGGGCAAGCCAGACTTCACAACCGTGTTACTAACCTAACAGCTGCAGTGTATTCGCTTCACAACGGGGGCAAGAAAGCTCATAAAACGGGGCAAAACTCGTTCTACAACTGCCTTGCTTAGCCACGGAAATTTGGACTCATAAATTGAGGACTGCCTGCATCCATTCTGGACCCGATCTCTTCCATATCGCCTCTTTCGGTTTTTCCAAGAAGTGTTCCTTGC